AAATACTGCTTAATAAATATGTTTGCATGGGCGCCTGGGTGGCTCAGTTGGTTAAGCGACTGCCTTCAGCTCAGGTCATGGTCCTGGAGTCCCGGGATCGAGTCCTGCATCGGGCTCCCTGCTCAGCGGGGAGCCTGCTTCTCCCTCTGACCCTCCCCCCTCTCATGGGCACTCTCAAATAAATAAATAAAAAATCTTTAAAAAAAAATAAATAAATATGTTTGCATTTGCTTGTGTATGTGTAAAGAACTTCCTACAGGACATATAAACTAAAACAACAGTGATCACCTTCAATGTGGTGGGGCCCCAACATGGGGAATGAAGAGGAGACAAAGGTTTTTACTGGATATTTTTAAAATATTTTATTTATTTACTTGAGAGAGAGCAAGTGTGAGAGAGCGAGAGTCTCCCTCTCCCTCTGCCCCTCCCCCCCTTGTGCATGCTCTCTCTCTCCAAAATAAATAAAATCTTTATTTTATTTATTCTAAAGATTTTATTTCTTTCTTTGACAGGAGAGAGAGAGAGAGAGTGCAAGCAGGGGGAGCAGCATAGGGAGAGGGAGAAGCAGGCTCCCCACAGAGCAAGGAGCCCAACATGAGGCTCAATCCCATGACCCTGGGATCATGATCTGAGCCGAAGGTAGACACTTAACCAACTGAGCCACCCAGGCGCCCCTGGATATTTTTAAACATACATGTTTTTAAGCCTTGTGAATATATTATATATTCAAAGAAATTAATTTTCCTACAGAATAAAAAAAAATTATACAGAAATCTTTTCACATTCACAAAACCAGCCCACTGTAAGAAAGACTCCAATGTGAGGGGTGGGGAATGATGGGAACCTAAAAGGTGTCTAAGACAATTGTCACTCAGGTGTGATCCCAGGGATTGTATCACAGCCCCATAAAGTCCCTAATGTGATAGTGGGCTTTTACGTACCTTCTACCTTGTATTCTGTGTGACTCAGAGAAGACGGGAGAACTTGGTACATGAAGGGAGGAGGAAACACACCACTCTCCATTTGGAGATACATCCAGAAAGCAGGATGTATTCCTCAGTGTTTTATAACTTCTTCATATCAGGCCAACATTCTTCCCATGGATATCCACACTCCCTCCCTTCTTGTCTCAGCATGTGCCACATGTATACACTCTTCCCAGCCACCTCAAACTCTCTAATCTTTTCTAAATGACACTTTCATTGGACTTTACTTTCAACTATCACCCTTTGCCTCATATTGCTCTCTCAACCCAATTCCTTGAGCTATGAATGATTCTATCCCTTCATAATCATCTATAATCCAGCTTCTACCTCCACTCTTTCATTGAGTCCATTTTTCTCTATGGCTCTCATTGACTGTCTCAACCAAATCTAAAGGTTGCTTCTTTTTCTTTGTTCTTATTCTTCTCCATCTCCCTTTTGCAGAGAACAAAGCTAACGTCCATCTTACATCTCTTCTCCCCCATTTACTTAACACCCAAGAATCCTCTCTGTCAAGTGGACCTCTTCCTTGTTCCTACCTCATAACTGGGCTACAACTTGAGTCTCAGTTCCCACCCCTCTTTTCTCCATCTATCCTCATTCTCTCAAGGAATTAATCTATTCTCAAGACTTTACCTAGTGCGAAGGGTAAAGCACATGGAGCACGTGACTTATTAGCTGGGCAGCCCAGGAAAAGTGATTTCATCTCTCTGCACTCAGTTTCATCCACTCTAAAATGGGGATTCATTCATTCATTCAACAGTCTTTACTGAACACTTACTATGTGCCAGGCACCATTAGAGGTACATTAGATTCATTAGCAAACTAAACAGATAAACATTCATTCCAGAGAGAGGGAGAGAGAGAGAACGCTGATCTCACAACCCTGAGATCATGACCTGAGCGGAAACCAAGGGTCAGACACCTAAATGACTGAGCCACCCAGGCACCCCATGGGTTATTTCTTTTAAAAGGCAGTCAGAGTAGGCTTCCCTAAGAAGTTAATATTTCAGCAGGCTCAAAAGAGGTTAAAAAAAATAAGAGCATCTGTTGGAAAGAGTGCAGGCAGAGAGAACTGACAAGGATCCTCAAGGCATGGGCAAGCCCAGCTTGTTCTAGGAACAGCAGAGGCTGCTGGGAATGGGGTGAGGTGAGCATGAGGAAGAGCAGGTAGAAATCAGGTCAGAAAGGAAGTCAAGGGAACAGTCTTTGTAGGGCCTCTGAATGCAACAGGAGCTGTTGCAGGGTTTTGAGCAGAGGGGTGATATGATCTGATTCATGTCTCAAAAGGATCATTCTGGCTGCTGTGTTAGAAATAGACTGTAATAGGAGCAGGATGGGAGCAGAGAGACCAGTCAGGAGGCTAGCACCAGAGTGGGAACACTGGAGGGGGGAGAGAAGTGGTCCATTTTGGATAATAAAACCTACCTTGTAGGGCTGTTTGAGAATTGTATGAGAAAATTCCTGCAGGTAAAGTGCCTAGTAGATGCCTGATGCAAAGAAGATGTTAAATAACACCTTCTCTTATTATGATCTATTTGCAGGTAGAATAGGTTCTCTGGGTCACTACAGGCAGATCAAAGCTAGAGTGTGAAATCCAAGGTCAGCTGACCTGGGGGTTGGCAGCTGCCCCACTGAAGTGATAAAGGGAGGTTGGACTGACCAAGGGGCTTAATCTTCGTTTAGCCTTTACTTCATATCCCAACTCCAGGACAGTGTTTCCAACTGCCTACAAGACACTTCCTCTTAACAGTTCTATCAAATGATCAATATCAATGATATTGATCAATGATTGATATTGATCAATGATATTGATCAATGTATCGATTTTTTTAATTTCCTGCTTCCCCTCCACCTCTAGCCAGCTATGCATCCAAACGTTTTCTTCTATTAAAGATACACCAGTCCCCAGAGGCTGGACACTTGGCTTCATCCTTGCATAATAAGGGAAACAAAACATGCTACCATTGGAAGCTGGTATTGTAGCCACCCTCTGCTTAAAACACCTCTATTTACAAAAGAAAAAACAAGGCCCAGAACAAAACATGATTAGCCATGGGCCTCTCTAGGCTTTAATGACTGAGCAATGCTTGGACCCAGTTTTCTGGATCCTGCTTCCTTCAACAACCCTTCCAACCCGTGCCTGTCCCACATCACACAGTCCCTCAGATTGGCTGCCACAGGCCAGTTCTCTCTGCCCTGGTCACCATCACAACTGCCATGACCTCCTTCCTGTTACTGTCACCTAAATATTCCAGAAAGCCTACTGGCGGCCATGACCTACTCTGCTTTCAGTGTGCTGGCTCTGGGTTCAAACTCTTACTCTGTGATTACTAGCTGTGAGGCCTAAAGCAAGTTTCCTAACCCTGTTCTACCTTCACCTCTTCATCTGAAAAAGTCCTACCTCCCCCCAGGACTTAAATAGAATAAGGCCTGTGAAGCTCTTATCACAGAGCCAAGCACGAAATTAGAGCCCAAGAAGCATTAGTTATTGCGGGTTTTATTACTAGTCTGAGTCACTTGCAGAGAAGTTGCCATGGGTGCCGGGTGAACATGTTCTAACTGCCTTATACTGGCCTTCAGGGCCTTGTAGCCACCAGGTCTATTATATGTATGGGAACTTTCGCCGCTCTCTGTTCACAGACTTTCCAGTCTGGACAGCTCTCTGTACCCCCCACCCCCCATAAACATGCTCATTCCCAGATCCCTCCTCTGTGTTTTGGTTTATGCTCTTCCTGCCTGAAATACCCACTGTCCTTCTCTCTGTCTTAATCCTGGCATTCCCTTCAAAACTCCACCAAAGTTTCGGCACTTCACAAGAACTTCCCAGGCAAATCCTGACTCCACTGATACCACTTTTTTTTTTTTTTTACAATACTACAGTATTTACATGCAGTATATATTGATCACTTTCTTACTGAGGCATGGGCTCTCGAGCAGGCTACCTGGTCTCTCTCAGCCTCAGTCTCCTTATCCATACAATGGGGTTAATATTAGGGTTGTTGTGAGAATTGGATACATACATTCTTAGTAAACATAATCATTAATATATGTTACCATTACATACTGACATTAACTTTTCCTTGGTTTTACACACCTTCATTTTCTTCCTTCAGGCTAGCCTGTTTATGTGTGCAATACTTAATCTAGTGTCTTAAAATCACAGCTTAAATTATGGAGCTCAGTCCTGAGAATTCTGATGACTGTCCTCAAAGATTTCATCTAATAATCCACTCTAAAAGTACAGATTTGGGGCGCCTACTGGCGGGTGGCTCAGTCACTTAAGCGAACTGACTCTTGATTTAGGCCCAGGTCATGATCAAGCCCCACATTGGGCTCTGCGCTAGGCGTATAGCCTGCTTAAGATTCTCTCTCTCCCTCCCTCTCTGCCCCTCCCCCCTCCCCCCATCCTATTCCCCCACTCTCACTCTCTCAAAAAATGAATAAATAAAAAACAGATTTATCCCAAATATCAACTCCTCATCTCAGAGCCCATGGGCAGTACACAGTATAGGAAGCACGGTTATTAGCCAGGGGCCTCAAAAAGGAGAAAGATTGGAGAAAAACAAAGATTTCCCCCCAAAATTAGAAATATCTGGTCTATTTCTATAGGGAATTAACACTGGGAATGGAAAGCTCTTCTGGGGTTAGAACAAACAAATAAAAAATCAGTGAGGATGACAGTATTGTATTCGTGTACTCCTGAGGTACTGGTGTGTGCTCGGCTACTGTCCGACCTTATTTTGCATTCCACTCAAAGGGCCCACCATTCGTCAGGAGCCATGTTAGGTGTGAGCAATATCAACAGAGATTCCTACACCAAGCAGGGACACATGGAGCTAATGCACTGACAATGATGCATAATCTGCCACAATGCAGTGATCATTATTGTTTTCTCTTTTCTTCCTTCAAGGAATCAGGCTTATCAAACATGGCAACACTTCTTATAATGACGATAGGGAGGGACTGACCTTTTCCCAGCATCACTTCCAAAGATCAGGTAAGAAATCCTGCAAGTTAAGAAGACCACCTTACCTCTATTTTTTCCCATATGGCTTCATAGTTGTCTTGGTGTTGAATATCTTGCATCAGTTTCTCAATTAAAGCAGACTTTGTGGCAGAATGGCTCTCATTTTTCTCAGAGGATGCAGCTCTCTCTGACTTCTCATTGATGTATTTTTTCATACCAGAGAGAGGCATGCACAACTCCTCGTCAGAAAGAATGTCACTCAGGGGCCCCAACTCCATGCTCTCCCCCAGGGAAGAGGCTATGTCACTGGATGAGCTTGGAGACACTCTGCCTAGCCTTGTATGCTTCTTCTTGACGTGGTATGTTGGATAGATCTCAGAATCTGAGTTCATTTCAGACAGTTCCCAGTCATCAATATTTTGGATGGTTTCCCCTCTGGGTTTCTGAGGCAGAAGCTTTGTTAGGTTCTCCAACTTCAATGCTAAGACTTCGGTCTGCTTCAGATGAGAGGGTAGTGCTAGGTATTCGTCAGAGCCATACCAGGCCTCCACCACCTGACCATTCCTGGTGACGTGACTTGGCGAGGAGGAGTAACTTTTTTTGCTTTTGTTTTTTGAAAGAAGGGGTACTGGAGACACGACGTTGTCTGAGCCAACAGAGCATTCGCTACTTTGAGTAAAAGGTGGTGAACTGGATGTTTCTGACTGCACTGGCAATTTGGCCTTCCAACTCTTCTTATGACATGGCTCGGGTGAGGATGTGGAAATGGAATCTGTTTCTGGCCCCTCTACGGCCTTGGGAGTACCTGAAGGAATTCCACTGGGCACAGCTGAGCTCCTCATGCTTTCAGCCTGCTTGCCTGAACCCGCTCCACATTTTGGTGTTCGGCACAGAGGCACCTCTTCTGGGGCCTTGTGTGGCTTTTTAAGTCGAGGTTTCTCTTTATGGCAGTCACTAAGCCTTCCCAGGCTGGAGGATATTTCCTTCACATGACTTTTGACGGTGTTTTCAAGATTCCCCTCCCCCACCTTGTGCAAACACTCATACGACTGGCTGGCAGCAGAAGGGCTGTTGGGATAGGAAGACTGTAACACCAGACAAAGCTTGGATCTGTCGGGAGGATCCACCAGAGAGGGGGTGCTTCTGCTCATCTCAGGCTTGAGATCAGCCATCTGCTTCTTTCCATCAGTGCCTTTCAGATTATTCTTAAAAGTTTCCTCTTTAAGGAAAAGCCCTCTTTTTGGCAATGTGGGCTGCGTGGGGGAGTCCTCATTGTAATTAAAGCAATCTCGGATGGGTCGCTTAGGAGTTGCATTTTCACAAGGCAGAGGCTGTTGGTTCTTTGTCCCAAGTTGGAAGGAGGAACTGGATTCTTGCTTCACAGGCTCAGGAGGGTGTTGATCGGCATTTGTCAGAGCTTCCCCTGAAGATGACGTCCCGGGCATTAAGCCCAGTGGCTCCTCAACTGTCAAAGCACTGTCTTCCTCACATCCACCTTTGTCATCTGCTGAAAGAGGTACTTCAGATGTCTCCTCACTAACTGCTTCGCTGCAGTTGGAAGGGATGGGGTCGGTCACCACCGTGAGTAACCCAACACTTCGGATGAGCTCGGGGAACTCCTTTTCCATCTCACTGTAGCTCCAAGAGTCAAAGGGTTTGGTTTTGACCTGGCTAGAGGTCATGTCACCTAGGCCACCGAGCAAATCCTCACTTGGACTGTAGTCAGACAGTTCGAAAGCAGTAATACCACAATCCAGAGACAAGTAATTTTGAGAGCATTTGATAGTTAACTGTCCTGAGTCATCCACTTCTGTTAGAGAATCAAGCCGGCCCTGAAACAGACAAGGGCAACAGTTTCAGTAAATGCTACATCAATTACACTCAACTGCTATTCAAATGAAATCTCAGCAGAGGCCACCATAAAGGGCAAAAATGCAGCAGTCTCAATTGCTTCTGGTTTAACATACAGAAAGGCATATTAATCAATTATATTGCTTTCTATAGTATCCTGTTCTTAAATATTTGGGGATTTTTCTTTAACCTGGAGAATAGAGGCTTGATAGAAATGGTCAAGGTTGAGCCAAAAATATCCATTCTTGCCTAAACTTTCCAATTTAAAATAGCCCATAGTTCATTTAATAAGCATTTCTAGTGTGATGCCTTAAGTAATAAAATTCTGTGAACAAAGTAATATAAGAGTAAAATGTCCATGAACATCTGCCTTACATATTGCTATCACTCCAGCACTGACCACAGTGGCTAGCTTATAGAAGATGCTCAATAAATATGTTTAAGTGGTATAATTAATTACACTAAGTCTGTCATGTTAACTTTTTATTCACAAATCACAGGAAGGTGAACTACGGAATTTGCACACCTCACAGAAACAGTTCAGAACCAGCTTCTCTTTGTACCCACCCTTTTGAAGATAAACACAGGTAATCCTGGAGAAAAGTAATGAATATCAAAACTTACCATCTTAGTCCCTGTCCCCTCTCTTTGCACGCATTTTTCTCCCCCTCTTCCATTTGTGTATGTTACATACCAACTGCCTCCCTCCCTTGTTATTTATAATTCAAGGTAGGCCAGTCTGATTTGAAATCCCCCTGTGCTAAAAAATAGCTTTACAAGTAAGTATTTTTAATTTTTAATCTTTGACTATGTGATGAAGGCTTTTGTCTCATCACTAATGCAGTTTCTTTTTTTAAGATTTATTTATTTGAGAGGAGAAGGCAGAGGGAGAGAGAGAACCCTCAAGCTGACTCCCCACTGACCATGGAGCCCGACTCAGGGCTCGATCCCAGGACTCTGAGATCATGACCTGAGCCGAAATCAAGAGTTGGCTGCTTAACTGACTGAGACTCTCAGGCACTCATCACTAATGTGGTTTCTAATATCACACAACAAATGGGGAGATTTTTGATTAATGATTTGTTTAAGACAGAAGGGCCCTGGAATCCTTTTATGCCTACCAGCTAAGGAGATCCTGATCTGATCTGCCCCTTAGGAGATGAAGGAAGGAAACTGAAAAGTGAAGGGTCGTTATATCCCCAGACCTCTTTTCTACTGGAGGAGGAAGTGGGTGAGCAAACTGAATCCAGAAGTCATGTGGTTGCTGAACCCTGTGTCGTTCCAGCCAGGTTATCCCAAGATCTGGCCACTCTGGGACCTCACACTGGGTTTTTGTTCATTTGTTCATTTCGCTTTTGGAAGTTTTCTCTCCCTTCACACCTTCACCTTGCCTTTACCTCCTACTCCCCTCAATGGTACTCCACAATATCCAGATAAAGAATAATAATAATAAGCCTCATTTAACTTTTCTAAACTTGAGTTTCCTCATGTATAAATGGGGATGGTTGATTACTACTATTACTTTTTTTTTTTAAAGATTTTATTTATTTATTTGACAGAGAGAGAGTCAGCGAGAGAGGGAACACAAGCAGTGGGAGTGGGAGAGGGGGAAGCAGGCTTCC